AATTGTACTGTGACACTAATTTTGTTTTATGTTTTGGAATCAGCTAGTCACTTGATATATGTCAAAACTGTTAATCTGGTAGTATTTTCTTGTTAGTGATGTTGATAGCTAATCTAACATTTCGTTTGTTTTGACCTTTTGAATTATTATTTTGCAAACCTTCAGGTCTGGGGACAAAGATAATGCTAGATATCGTCTAGTTGGTGTCATTGAGCATTGCAGGAGGACCTAACAGGGGGGGGGGGGTGCACTTTGTTGCTTATGCGAGAGGAAGCAGGATTGTCCTTGAGCAGGAGACGAGCAATAGCTCTTCCGCTTGGTTTTGTGCTAATGATAAAAGCATCAGAGAAGTGTCTCTAGACGAAGGGCGGGCCTGGTGCCAGCGGTAGAGTCTTACCGCCTGTGACCGGAAGGTCCCGGGTTCGAGTCGCGGTCTCCTCGCATTGCAAAGGCGAGGGTAAGGCTTGCCACTAACACCCTTTCCCAGACCCCGCACAGAGCGGGAGCTCTCTGCACTGGGTACGCCCCCCTTTTTTTTAGAAGTGTCTCTAGCCGAAGTTCTCAAGTGTGAGGCTTTCCTTCTTTTCTATGAGAGAAGATAGAAGCTTGAGACATGCATCATATTATGCCCAAGTAATAAAATGAGCAATCAAATGGCATTGGCAAGCATGATTTGCTGAGGATCCATTCAGTGCACTCAGTCCATACATGTACTGATTTTGCTGAGGCATTGCAGGGCACCTGGTTAATGATGGCTTGTGACCAGTTGGGGAAATTGTTAGCTAATCTGCTGAGTGTTTCTTCTTGCTCTTTTAGAAGGAATTAGGGCATGCTGTATTGGCTGAACAGAGTAGGAAATTGATCAAAGATTCACATCATTGTCTGGTTTTGTTGGATGGTACTCGATCTTATGTGCCAGGGATTCACATTTTGTGACCACGTGCCTCGTAATACAGATGTTTCTTCATTTTTGTGATTTAAGGTGTCGATGATTTTGGTTATGGAAGCGTTTCCTTGTTTTGTGAATGGTGGTTGCCAAGGATTTTTTTTTTGGTTGCCTAGGAGAATGACGGTGTAGGGTGCTCCTGATTGATCAAGATGGCTTAATTCTGACTGCAGTATGCTAAAACAATCGTTTTTTCACAATGCTCTTCTTTGCCTATGCAAGACCTCGGTTTCCATGGCACCACTAGAAACTGGAAGATGGTTCAGGTATTTTCTGGTTTAGCTATTAAATGGCATGTTTTTCAAGTCTTTGTTCATTCTATCTTTTATAAAATAGTGAATCGACAATTCGCAATCTTGTGGATGATTGACTTGCTTGTTAAAGATCTTCCTGGTGTAGATTATCCTCTCCTTGATGCTAGAATCTGGGAGCATTTTGATGTTGCTGCTCCCTGCATTGTATTTCTGTCAGTGTTGTATTATGGTAACATTTTTTTTGAAACTACTATGGTGACATTTTTATTATTGAAGTCACATGCATTTGCTATTGCTGGCTATATTTCGTGCCTCAGTAGTTGCATTGTGGGAGCACTTCAGTGGATAGAAATTTGTTATTTGTTGTTGTGTGTGTTTTTCCTCTGTTTCTTGCTTTCTGTACATTGTGTCATTTTGTGATAAACAGACTTTTTGATAAATGGATCAATGGGAAGGACCAGCGTGGTGGAAAGCTTTTTCTTTCTCTTGCCCCACAGTAAATCAAGGGTGTCAGTATACACTGTAAGTTTTCTACTTGACTATAAAAATCGTACATTTTTCAGGCCTCAGATTTAGTTAGTCCACGGCATGCTCACTATGGGTTCTAATGTATAACACTATCTCATCCATATGTTATGTTTGTCTTGCAATAAAAACGAGATAGCGTGGATTTTTCATTCGGACAGAAACATAATAAAAAATATGTTAATGTTGAACTATTGTAGCTATCTTCCAGTTAGCAATGTTAACAAGTGTGGATTGTTCTGTTTGCAATTCTTTGATTTTTCAAAGTCTATCAGATTACTAGGGTATGTTGCTTTCTTAATTTCTTTTGTTAGTACAGTTGTTGACTGGATGCATGGCGTGATAGTTTCACCATCTACCTCGCTGTATTTGACCATTTCTTGATTTTACACCATGTAAATGCTTTTGTTGTCACATGACCCATCTTTTACACTAGTAGAAAACAGACCTTTCATCCAATGCTAAAATGGGCTCTAGTCCCGGCATTTTTTGCGCCCGGGACTAGAGAGACCTTTAGTCCCGGTTGGTGTCTCCAACCGGGACTAAAGGTCCCTGCCCAACGGCTACTGCGCTCGGCACAGTGGCAGAGGACCTTTACTCCCGGTTGGAGACACCAACCGGGACTAAAGGTGGACCTTTACTCCCGGTTGGAGCCACCAACCGGGACTAAAAGTCCTCAACCTTTAGTCCCGGTTGGTAACACCAATCGGGACTAAAAGTAGACCCTTTAGTCCCGGTTGGTAACACCAACCGGGACTAAAGGTCCCCCGATGGGTTAGTTCAAAAGGGAAGCATCCCATCCATTGTTAGATGTGTTGTGTAGGTGGGGTGGTAAGCTACGCGTGAGGCAATGCATGGGGTCTTGGGTTCGAATCTCACGGGACGCAGCGGTGAGAGGCATTATTTTTTTTAAAGCTGGGTGGACCTTTAGTCCCGGTTGGTGTTACCCACTGGGAAGTCCCGGTTCCTGACCCGGGACTAAAGGACCCCCCTTTAGTCCCGGATGCTTACTCCCGGGTGGGGAACCGGGACTAAAGGGGGTTCCCCACCGGGAGTAAAACTATGTTCTCTACCAGTGTTAGTTGTGAAATTAAATGCAAGTATCTTGATATATTGGGAGATGTACTTCTACTTCATATATTTGACAACTTGATTTGATTACAGAAGATCATGAGTCCATGTTGAATCAGCACTAAGCATTGAACATTGTTGGAAGTGCACTTCTTTTCTAGGAATTATTTCACTTGAAGGATGCATTTACTTGGACCTGTCAACATATGTATGATATCTGACGTCATAAGGATCCAGTGCAGGTTATGTTGTTCAACAAGGATGAATGACCCGGTTCTGGCAAGTCTTCACCGACTAAAGTGGAAGACAGAGGCACAATCATATATGTCGCGCACATCGTCACGTTGATGAAATACAGAGGCTAGATTATTTGCTATAAGACGGACTGAATTAATCCTCGGAAGTAGATTCATTTTTGTAGATTTTCCCCCTTCTATGTCACTACGGGCATCAGTTGCCAACCATTGTACTACAGGGCATAGGCATTCATATTCCATCACTATGATTTGAAGCACTGAATGGTCTCCTCGGTATGAGTATGACTCAATGATTATTTGCATGTTTATGGGCATATGCATATCCAGAGTTTCACGGGTGACATATGGTATTAAATGAACAATGGATGAATATAGACGTGCCTAAAGAGTACGATTATTGATAGCTGCACCTAAACGCCTAAGCAGAGTTAATTGGGACGCCTAGAAAATCAACGGTGAGGTTGGCTATTTTGTGTATCTACTGTGAGGTTGGCTATTTTGTGTACGGAAGACGAGTCATTGAGTCAAGCACATGCTCATGTGGGCAAAGCCATCGTGATGCGCATGGGCACAGATTCGAGTGGGAGTTAACGATGGAAGAAGAGAGGTTTGGGACCCGAAGGGATAAATAAAAGCAGTACCAGATTGGTAAAGTCGGAGTTTAACCCTTTTATTATTGAAATACTTCTTCTGTTTCTGAATGAATCAAATTCCTAACTAAAGCTATATTAAGTCAGTGTTTTTTTTAAAAAAATGATCATTTTTATAGGAAAAATGTAAAAATTTATGACACCAAATTATAGGAAAAATGGAGGCACGACGTAGTGGAGGTGGTGATGCGGTCACGCGGCGGCTAACATAGCATATGCTCCGGCAGCTGGCTGTGGTGCCAATGCCATCGAGAGCAATAATTGATTTGTCGTGTCAATAATTGATTTGTCACCTCTCTCGATAACTGCACGGGTATGCGTACTGATTGAAGATTTATTTTAATTAAATTAGATAACAAACTACTCATGGATTAGTTCAACTATTAGTTAATCCAGGTTCTAATAAGATTAAGTTTTATTTCTAATAAACATTTGTGGGAAAATATTTATTTATTAAAAAGTTAAGGTTTTAAAGATTCATAATATTATATTTATTTTATTTTTAATGTTTATAACGAAAAAGATTATGATGGAAAAGAAAAAAAACAAAAAAAGGAACCTACGCGCGGTATACACCGCATCGCAAGCAGGCGGACACCACATAGAAAAACGAAAATAAAAAGGACAGGAATGCCGTAAAGGAAAAACGAAAAGAAAAGGTACACGGTTTTTAAAAAATTACGGTAGAAATTTTGGCTATTTAATATTTGGTAGATAGGGATATAGATATAGAAGTAAGACAATATTTTGTTCAATTTTTACTTGAATATTCTTCAATTTGGGTTAGGATTCCTATTCAGCTTATTACTCATGATTGGTGAGATCTATTTAGATTAGAATTTCTAACCATCTAGGTTACCTTAAAAACCTGTATTCAATATGTTATATAAAACATGAGAGTTGTAGAGAGGCAAACAAAGACAGTTTCCACATTCATGAAGTTAATTAGCGGAAGACAATATTAGGTACAGAAGATACACCATAGAAAATATTTATGTTCTCTTTGGTTAAACATAAAAAAAACTTAAAAAGGCCAAAAATTGATTTATTCAGATTTCTCAATGCCGGCTTCTAACTCGTTAGGGCACTCGCAAAAGAAATTATGATTAGTTTTTAGAGCATATGACAGCGTACCGAAAAACTATCCTTCCCTGTGGGTGTAAGACTCTTTCCTAGTGTCCTCGTAAAAAAATGAACCAATCAATCACAGTGTTCCTCTATCTCATCGAAGGATCCTCTGTGAAGAAACCACACCACACGGCCGTGCGCGAGGCGAGTCCATAGTGAAGCCGCGCCTATGTCCGAGCCCCAAGCTAGCACCGGCGGCCGTGTCCTCGCCGCCCACCAGGGCCAAGACGTCCATAGCCTCGACGGCAGTGGAGGAGCGACCCTCGCCTGGCCCGGCAGCAGCGCTCCCGTGGCGCAAGCTATGATGGCGGCAGAGGCACCTGCCCCAGCAGCCACGCTCCTGTGGCGCAAGCCGCCCGTCGCACTCCTGCTCCGTCCCTTCCTCCTGCACGCGAGCTCCCGTCGGCGACGAGCAAGCTCTACGATGGCGCAAGATCCCACCGGCCACGCGTGAGAGAGGTCCACCGTGCGAGGTTCCGCCGGCTACGCGCGAGTGAGGTCTGCCAGGCGCGAGATCCGGCTGCGCAAGGTCCCGTCGGTGACGAGCAAGATCCGCCGTGCAAGGTACCGCCGGCGACGAGCGAGGTCTGCCGAGTGAGAAGAAGGCTTCGCGCATGGGATCCCGGGTGCCGATAGAAACCATTGCCCTCCTCCACAATGCGGTTTCGAGTGGTTTCGATTGCTTCGATGCTCGTGAAGAATCGATTTTTAGAATCGGTTTCTCCATTTTCTCCGCTCTCTCTTCATTATATTGATCACCATATTAGCAAAATGCCTAATTAATAGGGATAGAAATTATGGTAATTTTTGTGTTGGGAGTGCTCTTAGGGTAGTCTCAATGAAAAAACCATAACAGTTTTTATGACATAGGATACCACACTAAAAAACTACTCTTTCACAGTGCAAATTTTTCTAATCTAAGTCAGCAAATTGATGAGTTATCAGTGAAATTAAAAGGGATAGAAACTACTATCAATATCTCATTGGAACTGTCCTTAGAGCAAGGCTAATAATACAGCCAGCTACTGACTGCAAGGATCGTTACAGCCTACATCCCAACCCACTCGTATAGCAGTTAGCTCTTCATTATTAATACATGGTCCACTCGTCTCTCTCACAGAGTCTCTTGGTTCTTGTGTCCAAGCCGGCTGTAAGCTTACAACCCGCTTCTCCTCTCTCTCCTCTTCTCTCTCCTCTACCTCAGCATTCAACCTTCTTTCAGCCATCTATTATACTTGCTCTTAGCACCTTGTAGGACAAAAATCATTAGCATGACAGCCTGGTAGAAGTGATTAGATAATTGACGTGCGTTATTCTGGAAGCAAAGCGTCGTCCGCTTTAATTAATGGACGGAAGAAGAGACGTCCGTCGTTTCACATACCGGAGACTGAGAGGAGATATTTGAACGTCGCGCGCGGTGGTTATAAAATGGCACCGTTCTCCAACCCCCCACGTCTTCCACTCCAGGTCTCCCTGCAGGGCTCTCCAGCGGAAGCAAGAGAACGCCCACCGATCCAAGCGAGAAGCACTCTTCGTCGACTTCAAGCAAGGTACACGAACTGGTTTTTGCCTATCTCTACTACTAGTACTCATACAAATTCCTGGTTCAGGGCGTCGGTGAATCGTATTGTCAGTCAGGTAGAATTGTTACAGGTTTCATCTGATTTGTTTTGTTGGATCTTAAGATTGATTAGATCGAGAATATTATAATTGTTCATTGTATTTTTGCCAGAAAAAACTTGTTCATCAAGAGAAGGATGGAATATAGTATTAGATAAGAATTCTTGTTATATATCCTTGCCACAGAATCTAACAAATTAAATTTCTTTACCTTCCAAATAATTTATTTTTCATATACATAAATGAACAAACAAATATGGTCCAAATCGTTTATATCTATATATTGGCCAAACTTTAATTTGTGACTTGTAGATGATTTGTATTAATCTTCTTAGGATCTGTTTGATCTTATGATTGATTAGTCAGGTCAAAAGTATTGCAATTGTCAACGTTTTGTTGCCTATTTTTTTCATCTATACAGAACGGCGGTATTACATAATCATAATACGAAGTGTTCTTATATTATGTGTATGTCCAGATGTTTGTTATCCATTGGTCAACAATTTTGACAGTTATTTTCTTTCTTCTACTACCTGTAGTTGTTGACATTTTGCCTATTGCTTTATATAGCCTAAATAAATAAAGCACGACTAAAGAATATGTATGTGCTGCTACTTTTAGTTGCTGGTGGAAATTGTTGGATGCATATTCTGTTTTTCAATTTGATAGATCCATTCTAGAAAACTTAAGTGTGCTCTAGCTTCTGTGATAACTTGAGTCTTCTTGGCCAATTATTCGGCGCCGGTTGTCAGTTTATTCCAACACTAGAAAATGTACAGTTAAAGCAGAACACATGTATGTATATGCACTTTTATCTCTTCAATGTACAGAATTGAGTGAACCATGTAGTTTTAATGATTGCTGAAGATTTAACTCTGCCTACAATGTAGGCTTAGTGCTACACCATGTTTTGTATAGACAATAATGCTTTTACGCAGTAGATTTCAGTCTTGCTTCTACTTTTTTTTATATATACGATATGTTGCAATCGTTGGCGTAGATTGCCTAAATTAGATAGGAACAAATTAAAGCACTGTATTTGTCTAAAAGTTGTGATGTTTGTCTGCTCATTCAGGATGTATGTCTTTGTGAAGAGCTCCACTGGCAGGACAATCTGTCTCAGGGTCCAGCCAACTGATACCTTGTCTACTGTCAAGGCAAAGATCCAGGAACAATACCGCCTTGTCTTTGATGGAGTGGAGCTTGATGAAGACTACCTTACGTTGGCTGATTACAACATCCAGCACAGATCCACGCTTGACCTTGAAGAGAAGATGCAAATCTATGTATTGGAGACGCTATTAGGCACGACCATCACTGTTGAGGTTGACAGCTCAGATACTATTGGTAACGTGAAGGACAAGATTGAATCGACGGAGGGCTTCCCCAAGCATCAACAGTGCCTCCTCTTTGACAACAAACAGCTAGATGACAACCACACCTTGGCGGAGAACAACATTTGGAAGGAGGCCAACCTTCTCCTTGTCCTCCACTCGTCTCCAAGAGGTACGATGCAGATCTTTGCGAAGACGATGACTGGAAAGGCCCTAACTCTAGAGGTGAACAGCACTGACACCTTCGGCAATGTCAAGATGATGATCTATAAGAAGGATGGCACTCGGCCTAAACAGCAACGCCTCATCTTTGCTGGCAATCAGCTAGATGATGACTGCACTCTTGGAGACTATGGCATTCAGAAGGAGGCGACCATCCATGTGGTGCTCTGCCTGTGTGGTTGTTGAGCGAGGGGTGCGGTGCGTGGATATTCAACAATGAGTAGTATTTTGCTGTACTCTTCTTTCTTTACAGACGTCAGTATATTGCTGCAGTCTTGTTTCTTTCTTTTCCGCTACTCTGGTGTGTTATCAGTGAAACTTTCACTATGGGAGTAAGTTAACGTGTGAGATGTTATATCAAGAATTAATCAGAATTCACTGTGGCTGGCGTAATAGCTCTTGAGAGGCGTGATCGGCTGAGAAAAAAATTCAGTGAGAGCACCTATGGTACCTACCACAGATTCACAATTTGTGTGTCCATATGCAAGTATTTATATGAAATAAGTAGTTCTTGTATATTGAGTTATTATGGACACCCATCATGAATCTAGAGTAGGTGGCCATGGGTACTTTTTCTCAATCGGCAGTGATCAATACGTTGCTGTATATAGGTATATATGCATGGCAGCTGGTAACCGTGGGCAATGCAATGATCCGCTGCACGGCTTGGATGATGACCCACAGCGATCAGTATTTTGATGAGTACAAGGTTCCATCAATTGCTTCCTTCCTTTGAAGGTGAAAAATTATTGTTCCTCTCCCCCATTGCTCTGTACTGTGCCATTCTTTGATTTGATTCGCATTGCTGCCAGGAAAAACGCCTCATTGTGCCCTGTCATCACATTGCTGAGCCTGTAAAAACTAACGTCTTGATGGATTGGTTTGTGTCTGTATCCTTGTGTCATCACTCTGGAGCTGGAGAGGATCGACCTGCACCTATGGATCAATACTTGTATTCAAAAGAGAATGTCATTTAGCTACTGATCTGAATTTGCTTAGTAACTTTTATTTTACCGTAATGTCTATTTAAGCATCTATTGAATGCTTTTGACAAACATCATGACCTGTTTATCAGTGATCAGTTCTGAATTTAAGTTTCCCTGAATTTTGTATCTATATTTCTTTCATGAGAGATGGTTGCCCCCCGATGTCAAAAAAAATTCAGCAGCCGTGAATAATACTCCTTTCTTGAATGCACGGGATGTTGGTTTGATCATTATTTGCAAAATTACTATTGGGTTTCCAAGCTTTTGGGCCGGCAAATTGACACTGTGATCTATATTTCACATGACATGAACTACATGGACACCTGTACCAGTATGACATTTATTCATATGTTAAAAAATGGGATTTTCAACTCGTAAAAAAAGAAATACAGTCACCCACACATGCTTACATATTTCAAATTATACTCTACACAGATCATCCAAGGACATAATAGATCATTCACAGGAAAGCCTTGCATTCCTGGAGCTGGAGCAAGACTTCAAGACAATATGTCTGATCAACTTCTCCTCCACAGTGCAATTGTAACTCTAGAGTGGAAATGCTCCATAATAGAGTAGAATTGGCTTAGTGAGCAGAGCAGTCCTAAACAAAGTCTAAATATTACAAGCAACTGAATAAATAAAAACCAACGTGGGCCAATGAGTTTTCCTAATTTGTACTGTCGAAACCAGAAACAGGGGGCGTGTTTGGAAGCGTGGCCCAGTGGCCCGGCTGCACTCCTGGGCTGCAACGCTCGTGTTTGGGGCCACTGGCCCACTCCGGAGCCTGGCCGCCGCGGTGCAAAAGGGGCACCTCCGCCTGGCTGTTGGGAAACGAAGCTAGGGTTCGTTTTTTGGGGGCGCAGCTGCAAGCGGCGCAAGGCGGGCGATTCGGGGGTGATTTGGCGTGGCGGCGGGTGGCTCGCGTGGGAAGGGGGAAACTCCGCGCGCCCTCCCCACCGGCGAAATCTGCCGCCTTTATAAGCGGCCGTTGGCGCTGTGTCTCCTTCCTTCGTCTACGTGCTCTTGGCCCTCCCTCTACCCACGTGAGAGACTGACGGCGGTGGTGAGCTGGTGTCCATCGCGGCGGCGTCCTTCCCCGACGGGCTTCGTCTCCATTCCCCCACCTTGGATCTGCTTCGACGCGGCGCCGTCTTCTTCCATCTTCTTCTGTTGCTGCGGTGGTGCGGTTCCTGTTCCCCCGGATGGATCTGCTTCTTCTGCCTCCAGATCTGCTTCCTCTTCCTCGCCGGTTCTTCTTCTTCTCGCACCTGCGCCACTCCTTTGCTCCGATGACCACCCTGAGGTGAAATCGACCCCCAATCCCCCTCTCTCTTGATGGCGATGATGCTAGGGTTTGTTATCGTAGTTGTAGTTCATTGTTCGTTCGTTTATTCTCAATACAAGCTACTGTTTCATGATGGATTAGGGTTTCATTTGTTATGGAATTGATGCTTGTTGTTACAGTAGCTTGTTGTACCTTATGATGCCCTACCCGTTTACTGTCCATTTTGCACCTGATGTGTTTCATGGTTGTGATGGTTGCCTGGATTGCCCTGTATTTTTTTTCTTGCGGTCGATGATGTTGTCCTAGGCGCTTTGGAGGCATGTTTTTACATGCAACCATGCTAAACATGCTTCTTTAATCATTGTGCAAACATGTTGAAGCCAGGCAGGGTATGATGATATGAGTTCCTATTTCATTGTTATATGCATGTATATGGATCCCTCTGATAGCCATGAGATGATGTGTAAACAAGAAGCTGCCATGGTTATTGTCATGGTTTCCTTTGTTACCACTAGGCTAAAAAGGAAAATGCCTGAATCTGAAACTGAACCTGACCCTCTAGTGTATGCACTTAGAGATGAAGCTGAGCAGCACAGGCAACAGACCCTTAATGCTATCTATAACTCCACTGATGGAGAGTGTCTATCCATGCTTAGGATGACTAGAGCTCCCTTTTTTGCTTTATGTAATCTTTTTAGAGATAGGAGCCTTGTATCTGAAAGGGAAGGATGCACAGTAGAGGAGCAGGTTGCAATGTTCCTTCCTGCGGTTGTCCACAACCAAAGGTTTAGCGTTGTCCACCAGTCATTTAGGAGGTCCATAGAGATAGTCCATAGGCACTTCCACCAGGTCTTGTATGCTATTGGTGAACTTAGGAATGGAATGATCAAGCCTCCTATTATTGCCATTCACCCAAAGGTACTTGGAAGCCATAGATGGAATCCACTCTTCAAGGTAATTATGAAGCACATGTTCCTGCATTAGGTAGATGTGCATATTCACATGTATTGCTGGTGAACTTAGGAATGGAATGATCAAGCCTCCTATTGTTGGTGAACTTAGGAATGGAATGATCAAGCCTCCTATTATTGCCATTCACCCAAAGGTACTTGGAAGCCATAGATGGAATCCATTCTTCAAGGTAATTATGAAGCACATGTTCCTGCATTAGGTAGATGTGCATATTCACATGTATTGCTATCTCACTTCCATGGTTTTTAGGACTGCATTGGTGCCATTGATGGCACACATGTGTTGGTAAGGGTGCCTAGACACATGCAAGCTACTTTCAGGGGTAGGAAACACAACTCCACATAAAATGTCATGGCTGCTGTGGACTTTGACCTCAAGTTCACATATGTCCTTGCTGGCTAGGAGGGCTCTGCCCATGATGCACTTATCCTGGCTGATGCCATTGAGAGGGATGATGGGTTTACTGTCCCACCAGGTAACTGCACTACCTAGTCAATGCACTTATGTCCTTACCATTGACACACACACTCATAGTAGATGTCCAATTATAGGTAAATTCTACCTAGTAGATACTGGTTATGCATGCCGCAGTGGCTTTCTACCCCCTCTATAGGGGGGTCAAGTACCACTTGACTGAGCATGGGAACAGAAACCACCCAACCAATGCAAAGAAGCTTTTCAACCTAAGACACTCATCACAAGGGACACTATGAAGATGCCTAGCTTTACTGAGGAGGCAATGATAGTTGCCTACACCTACCTGCTGGACAACAAAGCCCAAGGCAGGGGCTTTGTTGGCATGAGTGACAGCCATAGGGACATTTGGCTTAGGAACTACCTAGCCAAGAACTACTACATGTAGTTCCACTACATGCTGGGCTACATGGCCAATGAGGGGGTTGACTGTTGAGATGTATAGTTCCTCCACCTCCCTCATCCACTCTCTCTTCTTTTGACTACAGTTGAGCACACTTTGCTGTAGGTATTTTGTGCAGGTTACTTGGCTGACTCACACCTGTCCTTTTGGAGCCCTGAATTGTTGGGCAGAACATATTGTTGTAAGGCACTATTTGTAGCCTCTGTTAGCTACTTTATTTGAGACCAGTTGTTGTTTATTCTCTCACATCTGAATTGTTGGCTTTGTTTCTTTGGATTGGTGGCAACTGTGGGAAATTTAAATGGCCTATGATGCAAACATTTACATGAGGTGGCTACCCTGTTTACTTGATTCTTGTTCTTTGTCGTGTATGTCATCAAACCCATGTGACACGTCCATTCCCTAGCAACATCACCTTCTTTCTTATGCTAATGGCAGTGAATAGACGTGCACAAGGGTTCCATGGCAGCCATGACCTTGGGTTTGCACTTGTTTGGATCTTCTGTTGCCTGTAGTTTTTACCTTGCTGTTCTACTGGTTTTTTATTTGTATGGCAGCCACCAATGAATTAACTAATGAATTACACCACCATATTCTAAAGCTGAGGCCAATGTTTTTTTAAAATGCCTATGATGTCATAATTGTTGCTTTGAACTTGATGATGCTGGTCATCTGTGAGGAACTTGAGATCAATGATTTATTTCATCCCAAACCGTAGATCTTCAAGTTCCACACTCATGGCAAGTTTCATTACTTACATTTGACTGAGGCTAAACCACTCTTTGATTTCACATAAATGAGCCCTTGCTATGTGGTTTTCAACCGGAAGAAACCTAGGATTAATATGACTTGGCATGACTACAGTGAACAAGTGCTTGGGTTCAAAAATGGTATATACAAGAAGTATAATAGCTATGAGCAAGCTGTTATAGATTTTAATGCATCAGTTGGAGCACTGACAGCACCCCCTAAGTTGTGCCAATCTAAAACTTGTGCCACCATGGCTCCTGTTGATGGTAAGGCTGTTTCTTGGAAGAATGTGACCATTGTCACTCTATTGATG